CAAAGAGATCATCTTCTTGTCAATTTCATCAAGCTCTTCATCTTGAATGTTCTTGTCAATATTTTTTTCTTAAGATGAAGCCCTTAATGCTATTCCATATTTCTTCCTTTTGTCTTCTTCTTCCTTATCCTTCATTCGAGAAAGCTCATGTGTCCTTAATGATCTGATCAAATCATCGAGTGTGATTGTTGAAAGATTTTTCATCTCCTCCAATGTAGTTCTTTTTATACTCGACGATTTTGACAAGGACCTTACAATCTTGCTCACTAGTCCACTTTCCTTGAATGGTCTATCAAGAGAATTTAAACTATCAACAATATCAGTGAATCTAGTGTACATGGAAGAAATTGATTCATCATCTTTCATTTCGAACATTTCATATGCACGCATAAGATGATTATTCGTAGTTTCTTTAACTTGGTTTATGCTTTTGTCAACTACTTCTAGAGTGTGCCATATGGCTTGTGCTGAAGTACAAGAGGTAATTTTATTAAACTCATTTCTATCTAATGCACAATACAAAATGTTCATGTCTCTAGCATTTAAAGATAATTTATGCTCATCATTTTCATCGTATTCACTAGAATCCTTAGGCACTAACTTATCTTCTACTTTCTTTGTGGGCACATAAGGACCATTTTCTACAATGCGCCATAATGCATAGTCAATTGATTGTAAATAAATTTTCATCCTTACTTTCCATTAATTGTAATCTACCCCATTACAAAGAGGAGGTCTACTTGTGGATTGACCTTCCATATTTTGAACACTTAGAGTAGTCATGCTCAAGATTGTTAAATCTTTTTCACCAATTATCGAGCTACCAGGCACTATGCCAATTGTTGTCCCAAGTAAGGCTACCCAAGAAGGGGGTGAATTGGGTTTTAAAAGATTTTCGTAAATTCGCACAATTATTGACAATCAATTCAACACAGTACTTTTAACAAACATTTGGTGTGCAGTGAATAATTGAAGTTAATGCAATGACTCAAACACTTGGTGAGCACAAGATAAATCAATCTAATTCAACGCAACAAGCTTAATACACTTATCACTTAGAATCAATTCAATCTATCTCTATTATCAAATACAAAAATTAAGTGCGGAAATTAAAGTGATAGGGTCAAGAGAACGCAAACGAGATTTATAGTGGTTCGACAAATAAATTTATCTACATCCACTGTCGCTGAGATATTCCTCCTCTCAACCTCTTCCACTATCCGATCATTTTCACAGCATGATCACTTCACTTACAAAATGATGAACCTTTCTGTCCGAGGCTTCGTCAAACCTCTTACAAGATGTCAATTTTTCACGGAGATCGACTAACCCAAGATGTCGATTTTCCACAGAGATCGACTAACCAAAAATGTCAATTTTACACGGAGATCGACCAACCTAAAAACCCAACCTCACAAGAAGATTACAAGATGTTTTGATACAAGGAAATCAAACTCAAATCTCCAAAGGACTTTGATACAAGATAAGATCAATGGAGATTATGAAATCACACTATAAAAGATAGATCGAAGCTAGGCTCAAGAGTGTGTACATCAATCAAGATGAGATTTGGAGAGAATTTTGATCTTTCAAGATGATTGCAATGTGGGTGCTTGAGGGTTTCTCGGACCCTAGATATGTTTTATATGATTTTCTCTTACTCAGTCTCGCTGTACAACAGACTTATTTTTGTCCGTTGGTTAGTACCGATCGACCTGAGCGATTGACCGGTTGAGGTTGATTAAAAAATTCAATGTTCAATGGACCAATTTATTGCCATTGAAAAAGACACCGGACGCCCAGGGTAGGCAACCGGCTTAGCCTAGACAAGGCGCCTAGTGAGGTATAATACCTCTGCTGGTAGGCAACCGGTGAGGACTAAATCTGCCCCAATCCGTTCCAAAATTTATTTTTAATCTAATTTTTATTATACACTTATTTTAGACTCATTTATGATTATTAATGTGAGTGTGTGCATGAGCTTAAATAGGGATTAAATCAATGTTAGCATGAAATCAAAATCAAATACAAGACTGAGAAATGATTAAAACCTATTTAAACTTGTCTTACTTGATTTTGCTTGCTTGCTCTTGATCTTTGCAAAATTCATCAACACTTCAAGCCTTGATTCCTTCTTCAATTTTGACTTGATTTCTCTAGCTTGAATGTCTTTACTTGGTTTTCCTCAATCTTGATCAAGAGTGCATTTCTTGCCAATATTTACTTGAGTGACCTATAATCACAATGTTGCTAAATACACAACTCAAAGTAAATTTATTAGTAACACAATAAATTGTGTTTATTATCGTCAAAACAAGAGAATATTTAACCTTGGGCCAACAGCATCCTGTCGGGGAAGAAAATTCACGTCTCTCCCCATGCACAACACGTGTCCATCTAAGCCTATACCAGCTAGCTCCACCTAGGCCGAAAGAGGGCTGGACACTTGTAATAGTTTAGTACAAATTTAAGCTTATAAATAGGCATGTTGTCAGCCCTAAAAATCACCCTTCATTAGAAATCCTCACTCTAAATTGCATAATAAGCTCTTAGAGCAAAGAGCTTAGTTTTTAGATAGTTTTTGGAGGAGAATTTTCTAGATCCTGTAAGGAGTACCTCTAGTCAAGATCAAAAGTTGTATCCACTGTCAGTGTTTGTACTAAACTCTGTATTGTTCTTGTGTTTCTATAAAACGTTGTTTAAATCATTGTGTTGTTTTTGGTTAATTAATATTATGCTTTAAATTTATTTTTATCGGGATAATGAGGTAGGCATATTATGAGGTTTTAATTTATTAAAAAAATTATTATGATTGTCATACTTATGTTGACATATTTATTTCTGAACATAATGCTTTTTAAATTTCTGGCCAATTTTTAAAATAAATTGAGGTTCAAAATGTAACCGATAGGAGATTTTTACAATAAAGATCTAAAAAAATACTATAAAATTAGGGGTAGTATAGAGATATAGCTACCTGGTCATTTTCAAATCCTTTAAGCTTAATAAACATTTTTGTAAATCAATTCATATAGAGATATAATGAATTATTATAAAAAAATTATATTTTATGTATAACTTGAGAAATAGTACGTAAAACGAGAGAGGATTCGACCATCAACATAGAATGATCTCAAAATCATAGTAATATTTAAATAGATTAAAACTGATTAATATTGGTGAAATCATGATTCCTGACATTTTTATAGTAATTGTTTTATTATTTAATCAAAATCTTGTTTTAAAAAAAAGTTATTATTCATTTTCATTTTGTAATTTGATTTTTAAATTAAATTTTATAAAACTTATTAAAAAAAAAAACTCATGATTCAGTTACTCAAATAAAATTGAAATTACTCATTTTTAATATTTAATAAATATGCTATTCATATGGGAATGATACTTTTAACTCACACTTTATTACTTGTTAGTAATATTGTGCACTTGCAATTGATACACGCAACAACAACAGACATAGTGGTGAAATAGAAATTAGTGAGTGATCATCATCGGATAGTTCCATATTAGAGCCCACACTCTAGTCTTGCAGATTTCAAGGATTACACGAGAAAGATTCAGGTTTTCTGAGAAAGCATGGAGTTTGGACTGTTAGTGGTCAAATGCCTCAAGTTATCCGCCCGATTTTTTAAATATTTTAACATTTTAAAATCTTTTCTTATTTTTATTTAAAAAAAACTTATTTCTATTTAATGGATAAGAAGAGTAGTTTGGACATTATGGGGCTGTTCAGTAACCATAAAAACTCAAAAAAATGCAACTCGAGTTATAATTTTATTTAAGTTTATGTTTTTTTTTTTTTTAAGCTTGAACTTGAGTTTGAATTCGAGTTTGAACTCGAGTTTGGGATTAAAACTCGAGTTCAAGTTTCTCCTTCAACTTGAGTTCAGAAACTCGAACTCAAATTAATTAACAGTATTTTTTCTATTCTTAAAAATACTATAACTTTTTCGTTTTAATTCTGATTGAGATGAACTTTTTTTATGCGTTGACAATGAAAAGATGAATAAAATCCCACCCATATACCCTATTAAAATTTTCTATTTTTATTAAAATACTATCTAAATACAACTTCAAGTTTTAACTCACTCAAACACAAATTCAAAAAGATTCTTATCTCAAACCATAACTCAAATGTACACAACCAAACACAAACTCAAGTTACAATTTTAACTCAAGTTATAACTCAAACTCAACTCAAAATCTTCACTCAAAAATACCTAACTCAAAAATGCAAAAGAACAACCCCTATATGTCTCAAAAATTAGCTTCAAGGTACTGAAAAATGTTTTTAAAAATATTAAGATACCATTTTAATATTATAAAATACACGAGATACCAATAACGTGTTTTACTAGGTACCCAAATGATTCTTTCCCTTATATTAATTAAAAACCAACGACGTAGACTTCTTGCTTTGGATCCAGCACGTCGTAGCAACAACATTAGTGCATTATATTACAGCAGCTACAAAAACAATTCAAAAATTTCGGAAAATGCTCTTGATTATTTTGAAACAAAATGCAAAACTGCTTACACCAAAAGTTTTTGTTGTACAATTTCCCTAAGTAATTCATGTGACTGAAAAGTCGTGGCCCCAAGAAGTCAACTAGACGTATAAAATATAAAAGAAATTATATAAAAATTAGGTCTAAGTCTTCCTTTTCTAATATAAATCGCGCTGTACAACTATATTTAAAAAAAAAAAAAAAAAAAAAAAAAAAAAAAAAAAAAAGAAAAAGCTAGTTGTACAACTAGGAGTAGACTAATTCTTTTTCGGTGGAAAATAAAATATAACTAAATTTCGCAGCACAATAGTGACTAATTCAAATTTTCAAAGCGCAATTAAAAGATATATAATTACTCCAACCGCTGATTATCCCTTGCAAAAGAAATTGAACATCTCAGTGCCTAACATTTCCTTTTTATTCTGGCTTAAGAGTAAAGCATTGAATAAAAATCCTCCAGGATCTCTGGATCAGATGGGTTCTTATAATATGATTTTGCTTGCTGGTTTGTTGGAAACCCTAAGGGAAGCCTCCAAAATTTTTCTCCGGAAAGGGAAGCTAATTCCTTTAATCACCATTCTCTCTCTTTTCCTCAGCTCCATAATTTTCTTGTCAAATTTCTTGTCCCTCAAACCTTTGGTCTTCGACTTTGCCCTCAAGCTAACGGTCCTCCTTGTTACTAACCCCGCGCCTGGCAGCTCCGCTTTCACGAACGCCATCTTTGCTTTGAAAGAAGGTCTCTCAACCATCGTGGGCGTTGACTGGGCTTTCATCATCGCCAATAGTCTCACCTCCTTGTTCTTTGCAACCGCAGTAATCATAGCATCTGCTGCAAAATACAATGGAAAGGAGACGCTACATGTCAAGGATCTATTATTTACGGTAGGGCAAACTTGGAAACGGCCATTTATTACACTATTTTACACGGCTCTTTTGGATTTAGGTTATGCCCTCTATGCTTTTGCATTTGTACTTCCTCTTGTCCTGATCTCGGATCGCGAATTTAGCTTTTTTCTCTTTTTCACCATTGTATCCATCATCATCTCGATCTTCTATCTACATTTATCTGTGGTGTGGACTTTAGCAATCGTTGTTTCGGTACTCGAAGAAAAGAGCGGTATTGAGGCACTTGGGAAAGCTGCGCAGCTCCTAAAGGGCTTGAAGTTAAGAGGGTTTTGTCTCAAACTTTTGTTTGGAACATTATACTATGTTTTGTTAAAGCTTACAATATTGAGGATGATCAACAAGATATACTCAACGTCAATTAGCATTGTTACTGCGTTGGTTTTCTTGAACACTGCTGGCTTAATTAAGATGTATTCTTTGACGGCATACACGGTTTTCTACTACCAGTGCAAGAAGACGCATGGAGAAGAAGAGATTACTCATGAAATGCAGGGTAGCAATGGATATTCCTTAAAAGCCTCACATACACCACTCATCCCTGCTGATATACCATGAGACAAAGAATATATAAACTGTATATATATATATACACACACACACATATATATATATATATATGTGTGTGTGTATATATATATGATATTTTCTTAGTGTGATATCATATTTAAATGAATAAACTATATTTAGAGCTTGTTTATTTGCTCTTGTATTACTTGTCAGATATATATGTATAATAGAAACCTGCAGATTGGTGATAAATGTGTTTGTCTATGTACTTGACGAAGTTGTTGTCTTTATATTGTGGATGTCGTCCAAACGGCAACACACTACCGGTGGAGTAATCCACCAACCAAAGAATGATTTATTTCGGGTAGTTTGTAAGTTGATTGATTTGAAGTATTGATTTTTTTAATAAATATTTTGCACATTGAATAAACAGCATTCTTGTGTTATTTTATCATTATAAGAAAAAAGACACTTATTTGAGTTTTTAATTCAAGTTGAGATGTGATTTTATGTGAGAGTTTTTAACTATAGTTATAAAAAGTTAAATGTAACTTTTTGTGAGAGCTTTTAACTGTAGTAAACTAAAATTAAAAACTCAAATCGGTAAAATAAACGAAATCCTAAGGGTTGTTCTTTTGCAACGAAATTCAAAAAAAGTTTGAACTCGAGTTTGAACTTAAATTTGGGGCTAAACTCGAGTTCAAATTTCCCTTTCAACTCGAGTTCATAAACTCGAACTCAAATTAATTAACAGTATTTTTTATATTCTTAAAAATGTCATAACATTTTTATTTTAATTCTGATTGAGATGATTTTTTTTTTATGCATTCACAACGAAAAGACGAATAAACCCCACTCATATACCATATTAAAATTTTTCATCTCTATTGAGTTTTTATTAAAATGCCATCTAAATATAAATTTAAATGTTAACCCACCTAAACACAAACTCAAAAAGATTCTCAATTCAAATCATAACTCAAATGTGCACATCTAAACAGAAATTCAAGTTACAACTTCAATTCAAGTTATAACTTAAACTCAACTCAAAATTAATACTCAAATTATCCTAACTCAAAAATGTAAAAGAACAACCCCTTAATTTCCGATGAATATTCTCATTTCTTAAAATTTTTGCACATAGTAAATAGTAGCTTTTATATTGAGCAAAAAAAAAAAAAAAAAAAAAAAGTAGATTTTATCAGTTACATCCTAATAAAGAATAATGGATTTTTGGGTATAGATGAAAGGCTTTTTTTTTTCTTTCTTTTTTAATTGATAGGGAAAAGATTCGGTGTACAAATATTCTTTGAATTCGCCACGCAAAAGTCACTAGTTGGATATCTTCTTTAGTAGAACACATGCGGTGGCTCGTAATTCGCTCGCTCATTTAGGATCCGTTAATTTTGTTGATTTGAGTTGAGATATAATTTTATATGAGAACTTTTTATTATAGTAAAAAAATTAGATGTGATTGTTTCTAAGAGCTTTAGCCCCGTTCACTTCGCTGATTCGAGTTTAGAATTTGAGTTGAGATATGACTTTATGTGAGAGCTTTTTACTATAACAAAAAAGTTAGATGTGATTGTTTGTGATAACCTTTTATTGTAGAAAAACTCGAATTCTAAACTCGAATTCTAAACTCGAATCAGTGAAGTGAACGGGACCTTTTACTATAGTAAAACTCAAATTTTAAATTCAAATCGACGAAATAAACGGGCCTTAAATTACAACGTTTCAACGTGCAATTCGATGAAAAAATAAGCTTAATAGACCCCGCCGCACTAGATGACACGCGAATAGAAGGTGGCCGACAGCCAAGCCACAAGTCACGTGTTCATTGGCTAGCCTTGATCATGGGCTAGCTTGAGGAAGAGGCTGGGCCCACTTGATGCGGAAGGCTGCCGCTCCTGCGGTTGGAACGCACCCCTGTCCGCGCATGGAAAGCACGCACCAATCACGGCCGTTTGTGATCTGACGGCCTGAAAAAAATTTTGGTTTTATTTTATGATTCTTATTATACTTAATTTATTAATTTTAAACTAATTTATGGACTGATTTTGTCCATTTTTATTCCGTTTCCACCCAATTTTTGATACTACTCAGCTCAAAATAATATAAATAATTTGAATAAAAAATAAATTGAAAAAGTTAATCTAAATAAAATAAAATCACACCGACTTGAATAAAAAAACAAATTAAACAAAATAATTTAAAATTAGTTTTCTCGCGTTTTGTTTCAGCTCTTTTGTTCGCTTTTGTCTTTATTTCTTTTATGTTCTTTTTTTTTTCTTTTTCTCTCTCTTTTTTTAAAAAAATAATTTATATAATCGTTATTTTAAATGAATCATCATGCGCACTAAATACTAGTATGTTATTAAACAAAAGGAACTTAAAATTGACAGCAAACATCACTTAAATATGAAACTATAGTAACGTGGTCAATTATGAGGGAGGAGTGGTCGGGGGTACATAAGATCTAAAATTAAGAAGAATGTAGTAAATAGCATATTTTTGAAACTAAATTAAATAAATAGTACATTTTAAAATTATTTAAAATAAATAACAGTTTACATGATAAATTAAAAATATTTTTTTCACTTAAATTTCTTTTTATGATTTGTAAAAAGAATTTTTTCCATGTAAATAAGTGATTTTTAAATATTTTTTACCACATAAGTTATTTTTACTAATTTACCACATATACTGATGTTTACTTTAAATAATTCTAAAATATATTATTTACTTAATTTATTTTTAAAAACCTGTCATTTCTACGATTTCCCTAAATTGATATGTTTTTATTTTAGTACTTGTAGTAAATAGTATACTTTTTAACAGTGTTTACGTAAATAACCAAATTTATAACCGATTGAAGTGAATATAACATATAAACATTTACGGGTAAATACCAGTGTAAATAAATATTGATTGATAAATTCTCGGTGTAAATATATATTATATTTAGCAGTAAATATTGTACTTAATTCTACTAAATAAATATTTACAGCAAAATATGCAACGGGCACATCTATAGATGTCTCGTTTTACTTTTCACACATTTTTCAAAGTAATAAAAGTATTGAAAAAAACACTTACTCCACACCCTACCTAAAAATATTATTCCTTTCTAGCTAAAAGTATTGTGCCCCTATTTTATTTTATTTTTTCAAAGTAATGAATTCCAACGTATAAGAATTTCTTCATAAAAGAATATTTCTTCTTTTAAATTCTTTTTTATTTGATTTTTGTGTTTTCATGTATAAAATTTTGAAGAAAGAAACTTTTCAATTTGAATTAAAAAAGTTGTTTTAATAAGTTTTGGATTGGTTTTATCAATAGTATCGTATAGTTCTGACCTTTTTTTTTTTTTTTTTTTTTTTGCAGAAAAAGAAAACGTTATATGAAATTTCTCACTTTTTCTTTTTTGAAAAAGAAAAAGTTATATAGTTGCTGTACAAATCTAATCGTGTATAACGTTTCTAGTTCCTTGGTTTTACTGATTCCTTTCTCTCTTATATAAAGTTTATTTTCCTTGCTTTTCAATTTGAAAGTATACTAGCCTGAAAATTCAATTATACAATTGGCTGCAGGAATCCCCAATAAATAAATAAATAACAGAAGCAATTATAAATAGAGCCAAATATTAAAATGTATTAATACAAGCATACAGATAGATAAATGAAATAGAATTCCTGACTCTGTCAAATTTGACTAAACGCATAATTATAAGACTTGATCTCCATCCACATGGTAATACGGTGAAGCATTATTTTTTTATTATTAAATTATTTTTTTAATAATCAGATCTGTAAAATAAATAATTTTATATAACGCGCTATAAATTTTTAATATAAATATATATAAATCTAATCGTTAAAAAATTAATCGAATGATTAAAAAATAATACTTTGTAGAGTACTTTTTAAGATTCCACAATAAAGGATCCCACTTTTTTGATAGAAACTATTCATTCTTGCTTTTGAATCCTTGCATGTTCTCTAAAATAGTAGATCTCGTTCATTTTACAGATTTAAGTTTTTAATTCGAACTTAAATGTAATATTTTCTTAGAGCTTTTAACTATAACAGAAAAAGTTAAATGTGATATTTTTTTAAAAAATTTAACTGTAAAAACCTAGAATTGAAAACTCAAATCGATAAAATAAACGAGATTGTAGTAGTCAACCTAGTGATCAGTTCAACCAAAAAGAAAAAGTCAAATTGGCCATAAGAATTGGGCAACTTGGAAACTCTTACTAATTACCTTTTCTAATAATCACCAAATACTGAGAGCAACAATTTGAATTAATTTAGTAATTGAGGTGATGATGACCTCTACAATTAGAAGCGTTATAATGACAATCAACCTATTAGGGAAAGTTGACTTTTGTAAGCTATTAGAATTTATTTGTAATTGAGATGACTTTTGACAATCAACAATTTGGAAATTAAGTTGACTTTTGACATCAACAATTTGGATTAATTAGTAAGGTGGGTCTATTGATACGTTTTTTTTTTTTTTTTTTTTTCAGACACTTTTGTTTTAATTACTAAATTACCCATTAATAAATTTACTTTTAAGGACAATAGTCCTCTGCAAAAATACTCTACACACCCAACGTTAAAGGGGTTTTTTGTTACTTTTTTTTTTTTTTTTTTTTTTTTTCAGACACTTTTGTTTTAATTACTAAATTACCCATTAATAAATTTACTTTTAAGGACAATAGTCCTCTGCAAAAATACTCTACACACCCAACGTTAAAATTTATATATATATATATATATATATACACACACACTTTGAGCCGGTTTAGTTCGTTGATTCGAGTTTTTAACTCGAATTGAGATGTGATTTTATGTGAGAACTTTTTACTGTAGCAAAAAAAGTATATGTAACTGTTTCTGATAGTTTTTTACTGTAGTAAAATTCGAATTCTAAATTTAAGACATTTGTCTTACGTTTTTAGAAGAATAGAGATGAACTCTAATGTGAAAGATCCTCCCCACAAAAAGGTAGTGGTTAAATTTTTTTCTTAAAAATTCTTA